TCTTCCTTATCAGGAGCATGGCTGGGAACCAGTAAATAAGCAAGATAGGAACCTCTGACTGGCCAGCAGAGATATCACCACGTACCATACCTTTCCCTGCTGGCTGGCTGCCTGACCCAGGCTTTAGTTGGCAACTCTGTACTCTTATTTTACACATGATTGGGATGAGTTTGGTTATTTTTAGCTCCTGTCAGATCAGGAGCTGCTGCAGAGAGACATACTGACACAGACCAGGGTTGTTGGTCCCTGTGGAAAGTGATATGTTGAGAGGAGAGGAAGAAAAACAAGGCAGTGTGGATGTAAGAATTCACAGGTAGAGCTCTCCACCCTGCTGGATATGAGGACCACTCACCATTTGTGTCCTGAATAGGTGGAGCGTCACTGGATGCCGCAACAGCAACCTGAACTTAGGAAGGCTTCACGTTCAGTCACTCTGCTCACAAAGGCAGGGGGATAGGTGGTCTTGCTGCCGGTGGGCTTCAATCGCCAGCTGTGTTGGACGACTTTGCACCCCAAAGAGCACTTGTTTAGTGAGGGCTTCCTGTAGCTTTGTGACTCCACTGTACTCCGACACTTAGAATAGTGGCTGGCCTTTGATTAGCAATCAGTAAATATTTGCTGAATGAATGAATGAATGAATGGATGGATTCATCACTGAGGGGGAGACCTAGTTAACAATGAGACAACAGGGAACAGCTTGCAGTCTATCACATGAACAGATCTCCTGTTGTAACCACGAGGCAGCACTTCACATAAATAGCCACAAAATTGTGTTTAGGTAAATGGCCTTGGAAGTGCAGCACAGTTCCCTAGGTGCTTGTTCATGGAAGACTTAATTTGAGAAGATTTTAATGAGTGTGTTCTCCTTTTCAAGGCCTGTCACTTACGAAATATCAGTCTGTTGTTCATGCTTTAGCCCGGCCCATTTAGATCTGCTTCTTGGTCCCCGACCCCACACATCCCCCATCCATCCACCCACCCACCCACGCAGCAAACAGACATTTGTGGACTGTCTGCTGTGTGCCAGTCAGGCACCGTGCTTTGGGGTGGAGGGGAGGGGAGGTGGTACCAGGTGGGCATAGCTGGTCTCGCCCTCGGGGAGTGCTCAGCCTGCAGTAGGAGTAGGCAACTGTCACACTGTGCGGTGTGATCTGCGTGTGTAATAAAGGCACGTGCTTGCCATGGGGACACAGAGAAGGGAGCACTTCCTGCTTTGGGCGAGGGGTGGGGTAGTGGGTAGAGTTGGGGAGGCTGCCGAAGAAGGGAATGTTTGGGCTAAGCCCAAGATGGTAGCTGGTGGCTTCCAGAGGCTGCCGTCGGGGGTAGTGCAGGTGAGTTATCTGTACCTTCTCAGTTTTGAGAGTGGACACTCTGCAGCCTGCAGGAGTGAGGTGGTGGGTTCAAGGGGCCTTGAGCCTCCTGTGTTCATCCTACCCTTAACCCATGGGGACCTCTGTTTTGAGGGCCCTCATAATTTTACCAAATTCTTTTTAGAGCTGGAATGGGTCATTGGGAATTCTCTCTGACAGTAAAAGAGGCCAAAGAACAAACTTAGGATGAGGCACAGAGGGGGCATTTATAGGTGAGTTGAAGTGGCATTTCCTGTCTATCAGACCTGGCTGTCTTCCACTGCCAAGTCTAGCTGAGTAATGGTCAGCTGCCGGAGGAGCAATCTGGCATGGCAGGAGAGACCCACCACCCCCTGAAGGGTCTTTACCTAGCCTCCACCTTGAGCTCCTTCTAAATTGAGAGCCATTTTAGAAAGACTTCAGGAGAGTCAGATTTGGAATGACCCAGACCGAAACTTGGACTACCTACCTCATTTTACATGTGAGGAACTGTGTTTTTTCAGTTAATACTCTCTGAGTGTTAAAATTACATACCTGGATGGTAAGCCCTGGACCAAAAAATAGACCCAGGTCAGGAGCAGGTTGGATTTGGGGTCAGTCGAGTTTTGGTGACCCTGTGTATTCAGGGCATCATGTCTGATTTGTCGCTGCAGGAGTCCAGGATGGCCATATGGATTTGGGGAGATTATGAATTGCTTAAGGTCACAGTTAATAGTTCACCTGGGCAAGAACATAGGTCTCTTGCTTCCTTTCACCCAGTTCTTTCTGGCACTCCGCACTTCTGAGACTTCACTCTAATTCTGTCCCACTAGGAAACCCACAAATGAAGCATTGGCACTCTGATAGTAGGTGTTGCATAGGACCAATGGTGCTGGATTGTAACAGGAACAAATTTTGACAGTGGATTGTTCTGGGCAAGGAGGAAGACAGCCAGAATAATGATTTATTAAAAAATTTGTATTTGTCTGACAGTTGCTAAAGGATCAGTGTTAAAACTTGAGAGGAAACCCATCTGTGGTTTCTTCATCATAATACAGCTGTGTTAGTTTTTGCAAATTCCCAGTTTTTTTATCAAGCAGTCCATGTACAACGTACACATATTTTTATGTACTTGGAATCACAGCTTCTTATTTCTTTGTAGTCTGTTTACCTAATGTTGTCTTAAGAAGTTTCCTTATTTATCATCTTCATAATTCTCTTTTATAGTGAACAGCTCAACAGTAATCTGGAGTGTTGATGGCTCTGTGTCCCTGTGGTTGGAGTTTTGGTTGTTTATTCTTTTTGCCACCCTCCACACAATGCCCATTATTTCTCCAGGATATAATGCCAGAGAAAGCGTCATTGTACATTGAGCTTTCTACTTCTGCTGAATTGTGGCCTCCAGAGAAATATTTTCAGGAAGGAAAGCATCTGAAGGCCATAACCCAGTACTATAATTCCGATTTTTTTTTTGTTTTTACTTTTTGTTTGTGTTGTTTTTTATAACACAGGTACAGATATGCAAATAAAACAAAGATACAGTATAATGAATTGCTAGAAGGCAGATGTCCAAATCAAGAGCTGGGACCCTTCCTGCCAGCTGCAGGCCCACCAGGTGCCCCATCCCTGTGCCCTCTCCCAGTCACTTCCCTAACCTGCCCCAAGAGCAACAGTTACTCTGACTTTATTTTAATCACTTCTCTACTCTTTTCAGGCTTTATCACTGAAGTGTGCATCTCTAGACGTTGCATTTAGTTTTGTGATTTTTCAAAAATGTCTTTTGAATCTCTTTTAATCTTTAGGTGTCCCCTCCATCTCTTTTCTTCCCTATATTCTGTTTGTTGAAAAAATTGGGTCATTTGTCCGGAGGATTTTCTAGGATTTTCCACAGGCTGGATCTTGCTGGGTACAGTCCCGTGTAGTTTAGAACATTCCTCTGCATTTCCTGCAGTTGGCAGGCAAATACAGGGGTTGAATCAGCCCTGGCCTTGATTTTTTTCTGAGGAGAAAGAGGCATGGGGAGCAAGATTTTCTCTTCAGTGGTGGAGTGTTCTCCATTGGCAGGTACACAGTGGCTGGTTGTCTCCTGTTGGGATGTGAGTAGCCACTGCTTCCCGTGCTTAGAGCCAGCCATTCACTACAAGGTGCAAAGCTGTGATTTCCAGTTCTGTTACTTCTTCATTTATTTGTTGGAATATTACTATGAAGAAAAGCTCTGTTATTTTAATAGCTTTATTGAGATTCACATGCCATACAGTCCACCTCTGTGAGATGTACAGGTAAGTGGCTTTTAGTATATTCAGAGTTGTGCATTTGTCACCATGATCAATTTTAGTTCATTCCGTTAATCCCCCAAACCCTGCTCATCCTAGCTATCACCCCGTAAATGCTGCAGACCTGAGCAACCACCAGTCTAATTTATGTCTCTAGATTTATCTCTTCTGGACATTTCATATTATATGTGGTTCTTTGTCACTGACTTTTTTTTTTCACTTAGTATAATGTTTTCAAAGTCTAGCCATGGTGTAGCATATAGTGAGCTTCATTCCTTTTCATGGCCAAGTAATACTCCCTTGCCATTAAGACATTTAGTTAATCCATTCATCAGTAGATAGATATTTGGGTTGCTTCCACTTTTTGGCTATAACGAATGCTGCTATGAACATTTTTGTGTAAGTTCCTGTATATAATGTTTTCATTTCTCTCAAATATATATACCTAGAGTAGAATTGCTAGGTCAAATGGTAACTCTGAGTTTAACTGAGAAACTGCCAAGCTGTTTCCAAAAGCAGGTACACAATTTGACATTTCCATCAGCAGTGTATGAGGCTTCCAGTTTCTCTATCATTTGCTATTAACTGAGTTTTTTATTTTAGCCATCCTAGTGGGTTGGTGTCTATGGTTTTGATTTCTCTAATGACTAATGATATGGAACATCTTTTCATGTGCTTATTGGGCATGTGTGGATCTTTGGAGAACTGTATATATATGCTTTGCCCATTTTTTAATTCAATATTTGTCTTTATTATTGAGTTGAGACAGTTCTTTATATATTCTAGATGGAAGTCCCTTATCTGATGAATAATTTGTAAAAACTTTCTCCTATTCTGAATTATCTTTGTACTTGATGTTTTGATGTCCTTTGAAGCACAAAAGTTTTACATTTTGATGATGACCAGTTTATATTTTATTTTGTTGTTCATGCTTTTGGTGCTATATCTAAGAAACCATGGCCTAATTCATAGATGATAAAGATTTGTGCCTGTGGTTTATTCTGAGGGTTTTATAGTTTTAGCTCTTACATTAGGTCTTTGAGCCATTTTGAGTTAATTTTTGTATATGCTGTCATCTACTCTTTGGCTGTCCAGCTACAGCTAAAGACAAGATCCATGCCTAACTTCTTCCCTTTATTTACCAGCTTACATCAGGTGATGGTTCCCTATTCATCCTATGAAGTTACTCTTTGGTGGTTTTTGTTTTTGTCATTATGAACATTCAGACTTAATCATGAGTTTGTATTATAACAAAAATAATACATATTTGAAATGTTGTTTACTGTGATGCATATGTACATGCAATAGAGAGAAAACTGGTTTTGTTGGATTTCTTTAAATCTTTGTTTCTTATCCAACTGTCACATCCTAAATTTTCTTCTACCCAATTGTCTTCCAGAAACATGCCAAGGGCCAGGATTTGTTTGATCAGATTGTCTATCACTTGGACCTCGTGGAGACAGATTACTTTGGCCTTCAGTTCCTCGACTCTGCCCAGGTTGCGGTATGTATTCCTGATTCATTTTGGGACAGATTGGTTTTTCACGCTAATCACAGATCCATCGTTGCAAGAAATTGGTAGAGAAAAATTGGTAGGAGTAAACTGTGATGCTGTTTCAATGACAGGCACTAGGGTGGTGGTGACGGTGTCCTTGTGAAATGCCTCTGTGTTCCCCAACCCTTGAGGTGGCTGGTCACTGGGAGAGGAAGAAAACAGCATTCCGGTCACTCACTGGGGATGCATTAGGGAAACACTTCCATGCAGCAGGATGCAATGGGGCACATTTCTAGAGGAGGGAGAAAGAGGAAGAAATACATTTTAGAAATTCGTTTAACGATGCTGCTTTTATTTTTAACTGGCAGAAGAGACTGCACTGCCCTCTTCTCGTGGACTCCCACTGGGTGTAGAGCCCGGTGGCCGTGAACACAGCTGAACCCCAGCCAGGCCTAGTCGGGGCAGTTGGAGCAAGTCTTGGCATTGCTGGAGAGCCATCTTGCAGGCTCTGGGAAATTGTGTTAGGTCAGCAAAGAATTCCTATCCCTTGCCTGAGACAGAAGTGTTTGTAGTGGAGGTGCTAGAGTGAGTGAACTCAACACAACTCAGAGCCACTCGTTTAAAAAGCAGGAATGACTTCAGAGTCTCCCCCCCAACATAATGTTGCTTTGGATTTCAAAGATAATTTATTCAGCAATCTGAAAATATTAATTGAGTGCCTATTACGCACTGGACCCTGTTTTAAGTACTGTGGATAAAGCAGTGAACACCTATATAATATGGCAGGTAGTAATGACTATCAAGAGAAATAAAGCAGAGGGATAGACAGAGAAAGGGGTGGTGCTGTTTTAAACAGTGTTTGAAAGGGGCCCTTCCCTGATAGGGGATGTTCGAGCAGCACACGTGGAACTCTGCATGTGTGTCTAAGCCTTTCTACTTAAAAGACACTTTCTCTTCCCCTGGGCAACCTCTGAATTCAAACTGCTGGCCCTTCAGAATATTCCGGACACAGTTTCTTCTCATCAAAGCTTCATTTGAACAAACCCCACACGGATCTACTTTGAGTCCTGTAACCACCCAATCATTCCAAGATCCATAATTCTGCCGTTCCCCATTCAGTGATAATGCCCTTGGTTCTGGCTTTCCTGTCCCACTACATCTGGCCTTGGCCCTCCGTGATCTGCCTCACTCCCAGCCAGCCTCCTCCTGCCCTTCTCTTCTGCCTTCCTGGTCTGGCGAAGCCTCAGCCATCTCACCTGTGTCCTCACTTGCCTTTGATTCTTCTGCCCCTGTGACTGTCCCTTTGACACACAGGTCCATCTGTTTCCTCTGCTGCTTCTCCTGGGCTGCCAAGCATTGCTGGAAAGTCATGGGCTGTGCCTTTTGGCACCAGCACAGATCAGATTCAGCCAAGTCCAAGCCCCTGCACTGCTCTCGGGGCATTAGCCCTAGTGGACTCTTACATGCCCCATGGTTCCCCTTCTGCATGGTGACCACAGACCTGGGATCCAGCCCCACAGAGACTCTGTTCTTGCATTGGCCTCACCTCCTGCTGAGAAGACTGAGGTCATTCAGCTTAAACTCCTTAATGTGTCTCTCCCTGCACCTCCACGTTTGTCTTTTCTCTGTGCATCCTTTTCACTGTTTTGTCTTAGGGAGCATGCCTGTTTCTGCAGCCTTCACTCCCTACAGCGGCATCACAGTCCATCTCCAGCTGCTCCCCGAGCGCCAGGGTTAGAGTTCTCCCTTCTGTCCCCAGCCTCCAGCACTCGTCAGCCCTCCTCTTCCCGCAGCCCTTCTCCATGCTGCCTTCTCCTGCGTGTCTTAATGCCGGTGGTATTTTTGGTTCAGAATGTCTGTGGCCTCGGACTAGGAGTCAGACTTGGACCTGGTTCCTGCCTCTGCCCCCTACCCATCTGGTGGGCTGTAGATAAGCCACCTTTCCTCCCTGCCTCAGTTTCCTCCTCTATAAACTGAGGTTCTTGGACCTGTTTTCTCAAGAGCTTTTCTAGTTGTGATGTTCAACGATTCTGAGTCTAAAGGGGAGGCAGGCACGTCCGCCCCCCCGACCCCCGTGTCCTCCCTAGGCAGAAGGGAGGTGATATCCGCTATTTCTGCCATTAGAGCTGACGGTCTGTTGCCCTTGTATCCTGGACTCATCCCCAGGCAGTCCCTTTCCAGCCACTCAGACTCCCAGAACACCAGGGATGTGACTCCATTATGAAAGACTTTGCTGTGAACTTCTGCTCGCTTGGCTGCCAGGCTTTGCCATCCACCGGTGCCCGGGCACTGTGTGACAGGAGACATGTTCACAGCAGGATCCAGGCGTCCTTCCCAGGCCACACATCTGCAGATACTCAGACTTTGCAGTCTCTAATGCCTTTCCAGCCTCCAGCACTGGAAAGTGATGTGCTTTTCTTCCCCACAAAAGCGGGTGCAGGGTCCCCATCTGAGGAGCCAAGAGATGTGCAATCGCCGCCACCCCCAGAGCCCCTCTTCCCATCAGTGTGATCTCTGAGCAGGGCTCACTGCAGGCCAGGTGCTGACGATGCCTGCGCTGTCTCTGTGCCTTTGCCTGTGGTAGTTCCCCTCCTGGCACGTCCTCTCACCTATTTAAAGTTCTGATCATCCTTCACGACCATCTCAGACAACAGAGCTGTGCTTGCTGCAGCTAAGCCTGAGCTCCAAAGCGGCTTTTCTCCTCCCTGGGCACCTCCGGGCTTGTTTTGCCACTGCAGCAGTTTGCTCGTTTGGCCTTGGGTTCATTATTTGTGGCCCTAAATAGACCTTTCTGATTAGATCCTAAGACTTAGGACTTCTTAACTTGGTGACTCCTGGTGAGAAGACATACCTTAGTCTTTAGCCCCAAAAGGGACCTTGGTTGCCATTGGTCACGTTTCCACATTCTAGATGGTAAAACCAAAGCCCTTAGACCTTGGAAGTCACTTGTTGAGTACCGCAGCTCAGACTCAAACCCAGATTGTAGACTTCAGATTGAAGTGCTTCTTCCAGGACACTGAACTCTCTCGTCTCAGTTTTCCTGACTGTAAAGCAGAGGTAGTAACATCTATTTCACAAGGAAATTGAGGGACTCAGTGAGTAATGGAGGAGAAAGGGCTTTGTAATCTGACATGGCTGTGGTGTCCACTTCCTCCCTGGGCAGGCCAAGGGGGTCCAGAAGACATCACAGTCCCCATAGGTGATGTGCAGGGCAAGTTACCTGTCACCTACAGAGCTGTCCTGCCTGCAGGAGAAACCTCAGCAACTTAGATGAGCTCTTTGGGAAAGTTCCCTGAGTCCTTGATTCTCCCAGGGCCTGGGATGAAGCGGTTGGTGGCAGGTGTAATAGATGGGGGCCTGGGAGGGACTGGTTCTCTTGGCCATTGGCTTATTGCCGCATAATTGAGGCTCCTGCAAGGAATGACATTCTCCCCAGTCCCTGACAGGCAAATCAGAGGGCTGGCAGTGGCTGGGCTCTTGGCATAGCTCTCTGCATACCCAGCTTACAGCTCCAGCTCCCTGTAAAGAGCCAAGCCTGGTTTCCATAGGGTGCTGCCCAGCCCCAAAGCAAGGTCAAAGTCTATTGGTATTGCCTATTTTTAGCAGCTGGGGCTGGGGCCTCCTGTTACCTTTGCCATATCAGAGCAGGAAGGCCACCCAGCGACCCACTTTGTAGATTTCACGTCTGCCCAGCCCAGGGCAGGGGTAGGGTTCTATTTGTACATATCAAAACCTTCTTCTGAGAGCCCAGGCTCTGGCCTGCCACCACCCAGCTTTCTTACAGACTGGTCAGTTAGCTGCTGTTTACTAGAGTCCCAATCTGATGAGCCATTAGCCAGGCATCAAACTAAAGGGTTTACATAACTTCTTTAACATTCATCACTGATATGTAAAGGTGACTATAGACCAGACCCATTTTACAGATGATGAAGCTGAGACTGGCTAGGAACCTTGTAACAGTTCAAATAAGGGACAGAGCTGGATTCAGAACCTGGTCCTATTCCAAAGCCCGGCAGTTTCCATGGGCTGTGCTGGTTCCATTACGCATGGTAGCACCTGCTTCCCCCACCCCCGCCCTGCCATGGAAAGAAAACATGCAGTCAGTAACCATTCAGCAAACTTTCACTTGGAGCTTACTCCGTGGCAAGCCCTGTGGTGCAAAAATAAAGGATGCTGTCCCTGCCTACCACGTTCTGGTGGGGGAGACAGACAGGTGGCCCCTTGGAATCCAGTTCATTCCTCCACACTGTGAGCCTGGAGAGGGCTGCCTGAGTGGCACTGATGAGAAGGTATCAGGGGGAGGGCGAACAGAGAGGGACACAACAGAGGGTGAGAAGACTCTGCAGGCAGAGGAGCAGCAGGGATTGGGGCGGGTGTTCCAGCGGGTGGTTGTGGCCACTGGAAGTCCAAGATGAAAAGGGAGCATTTTAAGGTGGCACATTTTGCAGCAAGGAATCCAGAAAAGGTGATTTTGGCCCATGTCTCAAGACTTGTGAGATGTTTTCCCCTGTTCTTTGCAGCATCGAATCAGGTAGATGGTTATGAGGAGACGCAGGCTGTGAGGGTAGCTTACACAGATGTGGTGACTGCCGGAAGGGGCTGTGGGGACACCAAAGGGACTATTGCAGCTCACTCTGATGATTGCCTGGGATGTCACCATGTTTGCCGCTTGTGCAGATGTGATGGAGCTTTTCTACTGTTTCCAACATACCTGGAGGGAAAGTGGGAGAAAATACGTGTTAATAGCTGGATACGTTCCTGTAAGAGAATAATTTAAAAGCCTTCCTTCCATTTTCATGGTTTGCTGTAGTTTCCACCAACACTCAGTTGAGTCCTCAGACAGTGTGTTAGGGGACAACTCAGATGAGGAAGCTGAGGCTGGGCGGGGACTCGTGGCCACTCACCTGGTGTGAGTCGGACTTGAATTCAGATCTTCTGCCTCCTATTTTAGTGCCAGGAAGCATGAAACAGTTTGAGAAATGCTGCAGGCTTCCCAGCAGCTTGTCACTGAATGTTGGCAGAGCCCGTGGTTTCCTGCCCATGTGCAAAAACTGGGGCTGAGTGGAAGGCTATTAGTAAAGGGGTCTCTGTGGTTGATTCAGGTGAATCCCCAGGGACCTCTCAAGTAGCTGGTGTAAATGGGTTTACAGAGCTTCATCTGGCTGAGGAGGAGGAGAGACCCCTTCCATGTGGAGAAGACACTTCAGGTTGGGTGTGTGGAGACCCAGAGCACTTGTCGCTGACACAGCCAGTTTGAATCCTGCCTCTGCTTCATTGGCACAGTGATCCTGGGCACCTCACTTGCCCTCTCCATGGCCACCTTCATCTGCTCTGAGGCCCAAGAGAGTGATGGATGTGGCATAGTCCAATGTGTGTTTTTTCCAGCACCACCAAGTGAATTAATTCTGACACTGCCTACCTGGAGATAATTCCAAATCCCACAGGTTAAGGGCTCTGCCTCATAAGACTGCACCTCCCTTCACCCGACTTCAGACCCCAGTTGTAAGTCCACATTGTCACCTGTGCTTCTGACTGGCCGGCTATATAGATGGGAGATTCCAACAACCCACTCCTCAAGTTTGATTAACTTACTGGAGCAGATCACAGAACTCAGAGAAACATTTTATTTACTAGATTACCAGTTTATTATAAAAAGCATAATTTTCCTTCCTTCTCTTTTCATGCTTTGAATATGATTATCTGTTCAGATTCCTTCCAGCTCTAATTTAAACACAGACTAGACACTCTTTATGAGCCAAGAAAATCTATAGACACTAGAAAAGTTAGGAGTTACACCACTGAGATTTGATGGCGAGGGCTCAGAGGTTGTTCAGGCGGACTGTTCAGACCCTCTTCAACCCCTGAGCTTCACTTGGCTATTGTGGTTCAGGTGCTTTATAGATTTTAGACAGTTAAATTCTACAACCCACCTTATGCATGTCATAGTTCCAGAACTGATGTACTATTAGAACAGATGGGCTTTGCCAAATCATCTCTAATCTTGATTTATGGAAAGGGTTTGGCAGATGGTTGAGAAATCCAGATCAGAAACTACCTAATACCTGTTAGAATGTTTGACTTAAATGTCTTGCCCTTTGAACTCAGAAATGTACCTGTCGGTTTCCAGTGACTGTTTAATGGTCTTCTAGAGGGCTGGGGCCATTTGCCTTGTCTTTGCTGACAGGTGGTGTGGCTATATTTAACTATGATGCAAGGTGAGCCTCTGAGACAGGCTCTGCGGTCACTGAGTACAGACCTCCAAGCTGAGCAGAGGATACGATGTACTAAGTGCCACCTCGGCCTTTACTGCCTGAGTATTCATCATGAGGTGGTCTTGTGGGATAAGACAGGAGGGAGCAGAGTCTTGGTTATCTCCTACAGCTAAGGAGAAAGTCAGGTCATTCTGCAGTGGTTGGATACAAGATAGGTTTTATCTTCATTCATTTTAGGATTGTGACTGGGTTTCTTATAACCTCTGATGCAGGCAAGCAAACTTGATCTGAACCCCTCAGGGTCCAGGAGCTTTCAAATGAAACTGTTTCTGATTCACTTTGCAACTTATCAGGCCCCAGGCTTTTCAAAGGCCTCTGTCCGGGAAGGTCCTGCTTCAGGCAGGGCTCCGTGGCTGGGCAGGAGAGATGGAGGTCAGCCCAGTGGGAAAAGGGAGCTTTTTTAACAGTATGGCCAGAGGGAAAACAATCTTCTGTCCAGTAGGAGTGCTGTCCATGATCTGTCATTTAACATCGGCCATAGACATACAGCCAGTAAACCCTGAGATTGCTTGAGATTTTGTAGAGCTCAAACAACAATTTTCAGAAGGGGTCATGGATATTTTAAGATCCCCAAGATGATTAGGATACCTGGGTAGGGGAGGATGCAGGGAAACTTTAGCACTAAATATATTTACTAGACACACTCGGAGCCTTTAAAAAGCACTAATGCTCTGAAATTCTGTTTAGTGTATCCTGGGTGGAACCTGGGTGATCGTGAGCAGCCAGGATTGAAGACCACAATTAAGGAAACAACACAGGTTGGACTTGAATCAAGATTAGAGTTTGACAGTAGGGGAGGAACAGTGGGCTTATACTTGTTCTGTTCCAAATATGATAAGGCGTCTGTAGAGAAAGGAGAGAAAAGGGACAAGCTCCTTTAAGCTGTGAGGCTAATAAGATGAGAAGGCTGGTTGCAAGGAGAACTTTCTCTGCACGGTAATGGTGAATTCCTTTGAAAGGGAGGGGAGGAACAGGGTTAGTCACAGCCATTAGCTTTGACAGGAAAGTAAATATTATGCTTTTATCAAGTCTGTATCTCTCCTCTTTTCAGTGGCTAAAGTCCGGGGTTTTGCTTGGTTGAAGGCAGCAGTGATATCTGATTCTAATGAGGCAAACTGATCATCAGCAACTGCCTGATAGGCCAACGATGAATAAATAATGGAAGTGACAACCCAGCCCCCAGGAGGATAATACTCATTGAAAGTAAAAAATTACACAGAAAAGCAAAAAATAACCTCTGTAAATCCCTTTTGAGCATATCTGGATAGAAAAGACTACATTTATATAAATGGGATGCTACCTGTCTTTTTCTTTTCCTTTTTCTTTTCCTTTTTTTCTTATCTAACGTGCTTCAGATCACTTGCCACATCCGTAAATACAGGCTTGCATCAGTTTTAAAGGCTGAGCAGTATTTTATTATATGGATGAGCCATTTTTTAATTCTGTCTTTGTTGGTGGACATTTAGGTCATTGCTCTTTCAAAGCTATTAACCATGAGATAAAGCATCCTGTACACGTGCCTTTGAGAGATACATCCTGCTGTGGTGATCTGCTTTTATTACACACGGTGGCTGGCCAGGGAGTGGAGATGACAAAAGCCCACGGTCTCCCATTGCACTGCTCACAGCTTATTGTATTATAAGTCATCTGCTATTTGCTTTTGTGCTTCCTTATCCCCCTCGCCACACACAGTCATAATGGCCTCTTTGGTGAGGAGTGGAGTGCACTGTGCTAAGTCCCACCCTTGCTCATCATGAGATGTGCAGGGTTTCGATTGCTTCTGAAAGTATATTGACAGTCAGCAGAATGGCCTCTGGTTCTGAGCAGCTACCGAGAAACCCAGCCTGCCTGTGTCATTCCCAGTATTGTTCTCACAGAGAAGTTCTAATGTATCAAGTTTACATGGAGTGATGGGAAAAGCTCTTAATTTGCCTCATTAAAATAAAATTATATCAAATATTTATTTATTTCTCAAGAATGTAATACAGGCCTGTTGGGTGGCATGCTCCGTGCTCGGCCCAGGAAATCAAAACATTTAAATGCTCCATCCCTGCCCTCCAGGACTTAGGTTTGCATGGATGGGGGCTCACGGGATAATGTTCCTAAATGTTATTTTCCATGGAAGGTCAACTATAGTATCACCTTTGACATGAAAGAGAAAGTTTTATATAGGGGGCATTGATCTGTAATTTCCTTGGATGGCTAAGATCAAAGTGGTTTTTCTGGTGAAAATGAGAAGTTTGACATGCCTGTCTTTCCATTTTTCTGGGTCATTTTTCTGGCCAAAGAATAAAAGAGTCATGAATTTGGGTTTTACAGTTTCAGGAAATGGGGCAATAGAACTGCAAGACCCATGCACGGTCAGATTCTTGGTATGGCTTGTAGTCTTCAGAACTCAAGTTAATGGAGACTGGCTGTAATTGGAAATTGATTGTAACTTGAGAAATGCATTTGGTATCTCCACTGACTAAAAGGGACTTTAAAGATCACTTAAAGGGTTTTAAGTTCTTTTAAGCAACTCTTTGCAAAACTAACTCTCCCCAGGAAAAATGTACTTAATGAGCATAAACACAGCTTTTTAATTTTAATCCCATCCCAAGCAGTTTGCAGTTAGTTCTCCAGTCTAACATCTTGTGATCGGGTCCAATCCCTGGTTTTTATGAGTAGAATTACTAAGGTTTGTAGAGGAGGATAACAGAGGACTGGATAATTCTGCTGATGAACTATTTGTAAAGAAACGTTTTCTTTCTTGCAGCACTGGCTGGATCATTCCAAACCCATAAAGAAGCAGATGAAAAGTAAGCAAGCAGAATTTAGCCTACTCACTTTTTTCTTTTATCAGAGAGTAAACTCCTTTGCCAATATTTTGAGGTACAATGTTTTTCATGAGAACTTGGGGGAGTTTTTAAATAGATTCAGTTTTAAGTGGATGAGTTTTAATTTCTTAAGGCTGGCCAAATATTAGAGTTTTAAATTTGAATAAGAGTTTTAAGTATATATTGAAAAACAGACTATGCTCTCATTTGGAATCAGACACCCCTGCCAGTGAGACCTGATTAATATGCTATTCAGAAACAAGACTTTACACCTATTATGTTCATTTTGTAATGAGTTATATAGTAGACTTAGAACAGGAGAGCGGGAGTGACCATCTTTGACAGTTTGGGTCTAGCTCTGATTTTACAGGTGTGGTACCCACCTTTCTTCAGTGTTGTTTATGCGTGGGTAATTTTTTTTAATGTAATACTTGGAGGTATTTTTACTGTGTTTTAAGATAACAGAATTCTTTGCTGTTTATGCTTCACTTTCCTTTAGCCCACTAACTATTTTTTAAAAAGTCAGCATCAGTTTGGAATATCTTGGCACAGGGGTAAGAAAGAGCTGAAAGAGGAATGTCAGCTTCTAGTAATTCGTCTAGACGATTAGGGCTTTCTTCCAGAATGAGGTTCCCACTAGCTAAACCATCTTTGTCAACACGGAAGTCTATTTTAGTTTTTAAAAGCAAGGATCAAAACAAACTTGCTATACCCAGCCTTGCATGCCCTGCTTGCCCTCTCAGTGTAGTGGTGAACATGTTAATGTGTTTTTCCTTTTGTCCATTCTGTGATCTTCAAAACTGGGGAAAAACATCTTCAACCTTACATCTCCACACGTTTAGTTGGACCTGCTTATGCTTTGCACTTTCGAGTTAAATATTATTCTTCAGAACCGAACAACCTTCGTGAAGAGTTTACAAGGTAGGACAAAAAACAGAACAAGATCCTACCCCTCTCCCCAGCTTCATAGCGGTTGCTTTACTTATTATGGGTCTTCTAAATTGTGGGTTTGCCTCCCCTGCCACCCACTGTCTTTATATTCTGCGCAAGAATTATTAGCACTTTGCCTGTGGTTATCGCTGTAGTCTGTTGAAAATACAACACGCTTTGCTTCATTTCACCTTTTTCTTACTGAATCAAAATTAAAAGATTTTCTTGTTACATTTCTACCTTGTTGGACCTTGGGTAAGTTGGTAAGTTTGTTGGACCTAGGGCACTTTATTTTTGTCTCATATATAAAATGGAAAGGCAGGTATTGGAAAAACATTTTTAATATAAAATTGCCATTGTATTTTTTTAAGGGAACTGCCAAATATATTCCCTTGATTGTTACCATATCAAAGTTGTTAGAATTTCTTCATGTTACCTTTCAGCCCCACTTAGTTTCTTTTTTTCTTTTGGTATCATTAATCTACAATTACATGAGGAACATTAGGTTTACTAGACTCCCCCCATCACCAAGTCCCCCCCACATACCCCATTACAGTCACTGTCCATCAGTGTAGTAAGATGCTGTAGAATCACTACTTGTCTTCTCTGTGTTGTACAACCCTCCCTGCACCCCCCCTACATTATGTCTGCTAACAGTAATGCCCCCCTTTTCTTCCACTTAATTTCTTTTATGATGTGTTTGCCTATGTCTCTTAGACTTCAGAAACAGTGTTGAAGCAAAAGAGACTTAAAAAAAACCAGCCTTCTGTTGCTTTTGATGTCCCAGAACCTCCTTGTTGTTGCCTGTGTGGTGGACAGTAGTGGTGACATTTAAGCCAATGGGTGGTCCATGGTGGCCACTAGCTTGGAGATGACCACCTATGTAAATTTTAGAGACTGACTGCTGATCACCATTCTCTCCACTAGAGAGGCTACTGGGCTTCTGTAGTTAGGTTTTCCTACAGGAATTGGAAGTTCTTGCCATGTCAGCACTGTGTCCTCCTTGATATGAGTACTCAGTTCAGTGGTGGTTAAGCATCTTTCAGAAACAAGAATGTTGTGAAATGTACTAGAACCTTCAGCTCCTCCCCCACCTTTGATTTCCGGATCACCCACATTTTCCTATATCCATTCCACAGAGCATAACGGTCTGTATTGTTTTTAAAATTAAAACAAATTAAAGTATTCTCGTGTTCCTCTTCAGAGGCCTTTATGAAACATGTTGCTTCTAGCTGTCATCCAAGCCAGTGACTCTTAGCCAGGGCTGTATGAATCAGAAACACGTGGGAAGCTTTTGAACAAATCAGATTCCTGGGGATCACTCTTGCATGTAAGATTCTGATTCCATGGGTACAGAGTGGAGTGTGGGCAGCTTTGGTTTCTACAAAGCATTATAAGTGGTTCTGATGCCCACATCCTCCTGGTAAAAAAACAAAACAAAACAAAAAACACTTAAGCCAAGACACTTAATTAATTTTTTTACTTTAATGAACTCCATGTGTGTTATTTGTTGCCTTTCTCCCCTTTTTTCATTATCTCTGTAACCAGCTGCAATGCAGTTCCAAGATTTTTTGCTTCCTGTGTATGAGCGTGTGTGCATGTGTTTTGTTTTTTAAAAGACAGAGTCTGCGTTAAAACTGCATCAGAAAAAAAAGCCTCAAGCAGTTGCTAACCCTACAGTGAACTGTAAACTTTTTTATGCAATCAGCTGCACCCTTTCTGGAATCCGCTGGTGGAGGTGGCTGAGGGCCAAATGCAGTGGCTCCACCCTGCCCGTTTGATTGGACACGTTGCATGCCTGTGTGTGAGCAATGTGTGCAGCGTTTGGCTCTCTCCTCCAGCACCGAGGGCTCTGTGGAGGCCATTGCCAGACTGTGCAGTTTCATATTCCATCTTCCAAGTATCTTGCTAATTCCGTACATGCACTCACCATCCTGGCTGGGTTCTGGGATGCCTCCCAGGAGACTCAGGAGGAGATGCTTCCACCAAATTTCTCATTTGAGTTGGACGCCCTTTTTACAATGCAGAGTTTCAGGCTGCATGCGGGAGGGACTTGCGCTGGGAAGTCGGGGATGGGAAACGACTGGGAAAGAGTTACCCTCTGTTGACTTTTGTATATATTTGTCAGGTACCTGTTTGTTTTACAACTCAGGCATGACATTCTTTCAGGAAAGTAAGTATGTTTTTGTTCTAACTCTTAAGTCAGGATAGATCGTAGTATATTTCTTAATAATTCACTGTTGTTTCTTTTTTAACTCTTTTACCCTTGTTCCCTTTTCAAAATTCAAAAAAGTACACCAGGCATTGTAAAGTGAGTCTAATACTTGTATCACTGTCATCATCATCTTATTTTAAATGATTATTCTATGGCTTGAAGCATTTCCAAAAGCATTTAATATCTTAAGTGATGTGTATTTGGGAATAATTATCTCCCTAATCACATCACTGCCCCATTCATAATGGCTTTTGTCGTATTTGCAAGCAAGATACATGATTAGTATGTATACACTTACAAGTATGTGGATAGTCAAAAGGTATCATTCATTACCATCTGCACTTAAGTAGCGTTAAGAGGTTATGTTCTGATTCCGACAGCGTTTTAGACATTTCATCTCATTTCTTTTTCCCCTCTTAAAAATGTTTTTTTATAATATGAGGCCTCTGCTACACAATGGTTGTTGAGCACGAGAAGCATTGGCACTGAAGTGGTTACTTTGCATGCAGCATTAATGTATTTTAAAGATATGAGATTTCAAAAGTCATGGCTTTTACAGTTGTGTCATTTTTCAGCAGATTGAATATTTTCTATTACATGAAAAAACTAAGACTCCACTGAGTCAAAAAAGCAATACCCGATGACAAGAATACATTTGGATTTTGAACGTAATCTGAAGGAAATTTAATAAGTGATTTCCTAATTTACAAACTCTCAACAGAATATGTGCTATGAAAATCTTTGTGGAATGTACACTATAGAAGAGTAGATTGTACAGTGTATACATTTGCCTTCTTCAACCATGCAATACAGATGTTTGATTGATGTATTATGAATGTGTGTGTGTGTGTGTGTGTGTGCGTTTCTCTCGTCATACTGTGCTCCTCATACTAAAGGCCTCTTAATTCTAGTAATTATCTTCAGTTTGGAAAAATATTAATGGCGACATCTTGCATTTGCACAGTACTTTGTAGTTTACATGCACTTCAGCCTGATGCGCTGCACTCTAGTGCAGAATGGGTTCCGGCGCCAGCACTGCCTCCTACTGGATGACCTTGGGCCAAACACTGGGAACATTCAGTTCCTCATCTCTAAAATGGGGATGGGGGAGCCCCAATAACACCCATCCTAGGGATTTATAGACTCCGTGCATGGATCAAATTGGGTAATATATATGAAAAGGCATTGAAAACTATGAAGTACTGTACCAATGTATGTCATTATTATTTTTCTAACTGTATTTATAATAGTAAGTATGAGTGAGATCATTTATTTGTAGTAATACGCCTCTGTGGCTATGCCTCAGTTATACTCATTTGAGTGCTTGAGTGTATCCAACTGTCCTGGCAGTATTAGATATTGTGTCTGTCTGTTTATTTTTAACATTATGACCTTGTTTCAAGAAAGATTTAAGGCAGCTTGAAAATCTGCAAGTATTACATTAAGATAAAGTAAGTTTTAAAAATAAGGCAAAGGGAAGGCCTTTTATGCTACTTTCCCAACTTCCCAATTCCTGCCAAATTCAATAAAATGGCCTACAGAATTGATAGATCCTATACCTAATTTGGGTTATTTTATCATTTGGTAAGGGCTGACTTTGGGAAATATGAACTGTAAGTCAGCTTGTTTGCATTCTTTAATGTGCGTAGCAAAAACTAGAAACCACCAAGAAGAAAAATCAGTACCTAAATATCATTACCTTTTGAAAAATGACTTTAATGACATTTAGTGTGGTTATAAGTATTAAAATTCATATATAGAATGAATTTTTTTTTTCTTTCAAGATTGAAATGCCCATATGAAACGGCTGTGGAATTAGCTGCTCTCTGTCTGCAAGGTACATTGATCTTTAGTGGTAATTACCTTTTAATGTTATTGCTTTCATTTCAACAAATGAGTGTCTGCTCTATACCAGGCACAGTGCTCTGCTGCGGGGGTATAAATGAGTACGGTATGGTCTCTGTCTCCAACAAGTCCGTGGTCCCAGGAGGACTATATGTACATACAGCATGCAGTGTATTCCCTTCAGGAATAGAGGCCTGCAGGAGGCAGGCCCATGGGGAATATGCAGATGAAGGTGAACAAGGGAACTACAATACAGAGTGGAGAAGTGCAGAAGTGCAGAGAGGCCCCAGCAGATTAGTGTCGGGAGGTGCAGTTCAAGCAGCTAGGGAAGTGGACCCCATTTAAAGAACATGACCTTCAGGCTGTCAGCAATGGTGCCTTTGAAGGCCCTTAAGAGAGAGGCAGGCCTGGGCAGATGTACATTTTATGGCATTAATTTTTTCTAACTGATGTATAGTTGGTATACTTTGATGTGTGCATTTTAGAAAGGCCACACTGGCTGTGATAGGAGAAGGGATGGAGCCAGACCAAGACTGGGGCTGGGGGCTCAGGGAGGAGGTGTTGCAGTAATAAAAGGAAACTGGGGCAGTGGGTTACACACACACGCACACCCCACCACCACCACCACCACCACCCCCAGCATTGGCAGTTCAAGGACAAGGACCTGGTCATTACTCCAGTGGAAGAGACCGCCTGTATATGATCTCTTGGCTGTGAAGGGCCAGTGGGGCTTCCAGTAGCTTCTCGAGTGTGCATATCTGGCCATCAGGGAGGTCAGGCCAGAAGCACCGAGAAGGGAACCATCTGCTTGTGGGTGGGTGGGAGTTCGATGCATGGCTAGCCACACTGACAGTTCCATATAATACACTGATGGATTTTAGTTTAAAATGTGCAAGGAACACTTGCTAAAGTCTCCAGGACTAATGAAGAGGGTACTAAGGTGTAACTGCACATAGGAATTTTATCAGTACACCAGCGAGACATATGTTGTGGACTCCTTTACCAGTGTGTTCATTGACTTATGTGGGATAATGAATTATGATGTATTCATTCATAATTACTAATTATTTTTGAACACCGTAATAAGATGTAGCCTCCCACTCTTGTACTTACTAACCTTTAAATGTTGATCTAAGTCTTTTCAAATTATAAAATCAGTACACACTTACAGATATCAGGACAGCATTGCAATCAGACAAATAGAAGGCGAATAACCACCAGCCACAGACAAAGCCAGGGTTTCTATGAGTTTTGACTGGCATTTTTAAAATGTAATTCTGATCAGAGTTGTACACAGTTTTTTTGCATGATTTTCTACTTGGTGTTATTAGTATATGTATTTTATCGTAAGGATGGTATTTAATGACTGCAGGATACTCGTTACCTGACACCTGCATTCCTTAGTCACCTTTTAATTCTTAGTCTCCGGCAGTGGCTTGGCATATGTAGGTGCTCAGGAAGCGCAGAATGAATTGAATGAAGTTGGAGAGACCCTCCAAGGACTTTGTTGAGGGGGAGCCTGCCTGTGAGGTCAGGCAGTGGTAGGAGAGGTAGTGATACTGTCATCTGTGCTTCACACCTCATCTTCCTGACCCTGCAGCCCTCCTAGTAAGTGCCCTAAGGGTTGGCAGTGGCTTGAGGCACATGGAAATCTCCATTTCGGCCAGGTATGCATTTCACAGCTTGCCACATAACAAGAGTTTGAGTCCCCAGGAGGTCACACCATCAGGCTCCATCCAGGTATAGTTAGCGGGAGGAAATCATTCTTGTCAAAACCTGGGGACAACAACCCACTGGAGAGTTTTCTTCTTAAGGCCGTTAATGCCCTGTTCAAGCTCATATGTCCCCGTGGGATGACTAAAGTCTGAGGCACACGTATTACCACCCCATCCCCCCATTATCACACTCACGAAGTCTTGCTCTCGTAGAATCATTTGCCTTGCCCCAGAGCTGAAGCAGACAAGAACAAGATCAGCTATCCGTGAGCCTTCCTTGGATAAGTTACCCATCTGAGTTAGAGCTGCAATATCAGTGTAATTTAAGATGCAGTCGTTACGTCAGGGACAAATAAAAAGACGGAAGGCTTAGACACACAAATGGGGAATTCCTTGTTACATTGGCCTGCTGTGCCCGCTTCTCCCCCATTCCCACCAGTAAGGGCTGTAGCCTGCTTTCCAGTTCCATCAGAGCGGAGCCAGCTTGCCTCAGACTCTGAAAATCGCTAGAGCATCTCTGAGGGGTTGAATAAAATGAAGAGTGTGTTTCTTCCCCTGCTTGATCCTTGAAAGCATGTCTTGCTGAGGTAGTTCTTGAATTAATGGTGCTTCCAGAGTCGAGATGAATTGCATGAAGCAGTGCCCATTCGGGAACTAATTTGATGATAGGTTTGAAAATGCAGGCAAAAAGGAGAAGAAGGGAGGAGGGAGAAGGGGACAGTCACTTGCTGTGTGCCCATGACCTTGTTTCATCTTTGTAACAGTTTCCATTTCACGGCTAAGGCACTGAAGACCCAGAGCGGTTCTGAGGCGTGCCCAGTCCCATAGCTAGTATGTGGCAGAGTTGGGATTCAGGTCCTCCTGTGTCCGACCTGTTTCCACCAGCCTCCACACCCTATGCAGCTGGGCCCCTGGCTGCAGTTTGCAGACTGGGTGAAGTCCCTTTTGTTGGCAGATTATTGGAAAGAGGCATCACTCAGGCCCGTTTTAGTCTAGTAGTGGTGAGGAGGGATACCGGCCCTCCTGCCTGGTTTCAGCGAAACCTTATTGGCGCCTCCTTCCTGGGCTTGATGACGTCAGTGGTCTTGTCCAGACACACCACTGAGCACAGGGCTCTGTTACCGCACTTAGGCCCAGGTGGTTCATATCAAGGTGATCTCTTCCCAGCTTGTCCCTCTGGCCTTGACGGGTCCCTAGTATCAGGGTTCCTGTTGGTCAGAGGTCAGTGGTGGCCTCCCACCTGTGGAGCCCAACCTTTACCCATTCTGGGCCAATATTTGCAGAGCAGAATATTCACTTGTGACATTGCCGAGGGAGCCAAGCAGCTGCACACGCTGACCAGGCCACCCTGTGTCTTAGGGCGACAGTCCACTTCATTGTAGCAAATACGGGGTTGCAGCCAGGTGAGGAAACACCAGGTCCCCACCCTGTGTCAGATACAGTCCTCCCACTGCCCTCTGAGTTTGGTATTCCTACTTCCTCTGTATGGACAGGGACGTTTCATTCACCTTTGTAAGCCAGCTGGCATCCCGCTCCTGAAAAGTGGGCTTCAGGACTGGAAAGGGCTGCTGGGTACATAGTGAGCTGCCATCACTGGGGGGGTTCAGGCATGTCCTGGCTGGTCAGTGGATGGGATTTACTCTCTTAAGCAGTGGTCCTCAGCCACAATAGCATTACCTGAGGACTTACTAGAAATGCACATTTCTTAGGCCTTAGGCGGATAGAATCAGAAGCTCTGGAGGTGGGGTTGCAACCATGTGCTTTTAATGAGCCCTCCAGGCGATCATGTGGTTTTAAAACCACAATTGTATATCTGTGCTTTCCAAAGCAATGCCTGCACCTGTCACCTGGGCATCTTGAGAAAAGGCAGTGGGCCTGGGGTGGGGCCTGAGGTTCTGCATCTGGGCAGGCACCCAGGCCTTGCGGACGGACGCTGTTGATCTGTGAGCCACCCTTTGTGTAGCAGGGTATCAGATGGGTCTCTGGAAGATTTCTTTTCATTTGGGGCTCTGCTTCTGGACCTGCAGGGTTGGGGAGGGAGAGTGGATTTTCTCATTCACGTCCAGGAGACCTGGGGCCCCCTGTATCCTCAGGCCACTATTCCTCATGGTGCTTGCAAGAGCAAGCCCAGGGCAGCGTGCTTGAGGCTTGTCGCTGGGACGATCACGTGGCTGCTGCTCCCTGCACAGCCGCCCTCCCTCCTGATTCTGCCAGAGTTGCCGCAGTTGCTCCCGCAGCCCACTCCCCCTCCTCCTTTGCTCCCTCACTCCTTCCCTCTCCCTTTGACAGATGTTCCCCCTGCTTCTGCCAGTGCCGGATCCTTGATTGGTCCTCCCCAGCACTGCAGACTCAGGAGTGCTGCTCGGATCCACCCTTAACGAGAGCCTTGTTAAGTGGCTGTTTCTGGGCAGGTCCTCATTCCCTGCCATTGCCTTTTATTGTGAATTTGGGCTCTACCACTTCATGGGGGAAATATAGTCAGGGCCTCCCTGAGTAGGAGAGATAATTGGGAAAAAGACAGGAATAACTAAGATAGATGATGGTGTATTGCCCGGTGGGGAGGGCATTCGAATGATCCCTGGGGATCTGAATGTCTATGTGGGTACCAAGCGGGAGTTAGATCCCCCCGAAAGGAGAGAGCTATACCCGAGGGGGCACCTGTGCTTTGTGGTCATGCAAAATGCTTTTGCACCTGGTTGCAGCCGTAACCGAGAGCATTCAGTGTCTCCTCTTTTCCTCCCTTCCATGAAACTCACAGCGGAGCTTGGGGAGTGCGAGCTTCCAGAACACACACCAGAGCTTGTGTCTGAGTTTCGGTTCATTCCAAATCAGACAGAAGCGATGGAGTTTGATATCTTCCAGAGATGGAAAGAGTGCAGGTACCTGGTTGCTACCATCTAGCGTTGGTGTATTTATTTTGTACTATGTACATGTTGTCAGACTCTTCTATCTGCTAATAGAATTTCTCTCTTGATGACTATAAAATTCCAACTCTCCATTTCCCTCCTGTGCTTCAGTCCTGTTTTTCCAAAGGCCTATGCAAAAATCTCTCTTTCCCAAGGTAGACAGTAAGAGCCAAGCCATATTCTTGGTTTTCTCTGAATTACAGACCTGGTCCTGATCTGCTCATTGCTGACAGATCTCAGCCCACGGCCTGAATTCTAGAATAAACCCGTTAGAAACATGCCCTGTGGTCCCTTCCAGGAACACTCACATTCGAGACCATGTGTTTATACAGACATATTTCAGGACATGTCCCCACAGCTAAATTCAGTCCTGTCATTTATGTCTTAACTTTTTCCACCTCTTTCCTGGCCCACCTTCCCCAAACTTTGCTAATTCCAAGTCACTCTTGGACTCAGAAATTTGTCATGGTTTCCTGTTGTCCCTGCAGTCCTTCTGAAGGACACAGGACATTTTTGAAAATTGAAAGTAACGTTAGCACATTCTTGTATCACATCAAAACAATGCAGAAATGTGTAGATGTTGCTACACACCCTTCCTCCTCCCTGCAGGCGGCCGTTGTTAGTGGTCAGCAGTGAAGCCTTCCGGCCTTTTTCCTTTCTGTGTACATACCCGTATCTACACACACGGACGGTGTCCGTAAGTGTTCCTGTTATCAGCACTGCTCTGTCATCCTCCTGCTCCATTAACAATCTTTGTTGGAGGTCTGTTTGTGTCACTATAAATCGATGTCCCTCATTCTTTAAATTGCTGTGGTAGATCCCTTAGTATGGCTGTGCCCTTCAGAATTCTGTGGGTGTACACGTTGCAGTTTACATGTATTTCCATTGGTTTTTCTAAGGGGAAAGAGCCCTGCCCAGGCGGAACTCTCCTATCTGAATAAAGCGAAGTGGCTGGAAATGTATGGGGTAGACATGCACATTGTCAGGGTAAGAACTGTGTGCGTTTTAAGTAATTGGGTTTCTTGGGTTTAACTGTGACTGGACAATGTGTAAACAATGTATAAATGTAGTAATGTGGTGAGGAAACTGTTTTGCATTCTGCTCTGTGACGACCTGTTACAACCCTCTACCGATTGTCACTTCGTTTATTTGTAGGGAAGAGATGGCTGTGAATATTCTCTTGGACTGACCCCGACAGGCATATTAATCTTTGAAGGAGCTAACAAAATAGGCTTATTCTTTTGGTAATTTAGTTTTGTCTAATATTAAAAATGTCTTTTCCTATTCTGTGGTGGAGTTTTATGTGATGGATGATTATAAATGATATTCGCAACACCCAGATTCACTTTAAAAACACACTATACGCTTGTATTTGTGGGTGTGTGGCAATGGTGATAACACTTCTGGATAATCACAGATAAATGAATGTATGATTTCCTTAGCAAATCTAAGCTTAAAAAGTAGAAAGGAAGCTCTGTATGTGTAGATAGTTTTCCTGCAGATTGTACTTTTAAAATGTTTTCTCTCTGACCAGGCCTAAAATTACCAAAATGGATTTTAAAAAGAGCAAATTGACACTGGTGGTGGTAGAGGACGATGATCAGGTAAGCCTTGCTCTCTCGTTTTTCCTCCTTGCTGTAGATACTCTTTCATCAATAACCAGTAATTAATAGTCCTTCATCAGACACCCATTTAGTCGTGAACTTTTGTATTTTACCTTTAAGGGTCGGGAGCAAGAGCACACGTTTGTATTCCGGTTGGACAGCGCCAGGACGTGCAAGCACCTTTGGAAATGTGCTGTAGAGCATCATGCATTCTTCAGGCTGCGGACGCCAGGGAACAGCAAATCTAACCGATCAGACTTTATCAGGCTGGGGTCTCGCTTCAGATTCAGGTAGGCAGGCACCTTTTTCACAGTGAGGATCACGTGTTGCAGAGGAGTGCCACAGTGGTGTTTTTGTGAATGGAGCAATGGATCTGCATCCAGAGGCTTGAGTTGGATGTCCTGTCTTTGCTTCTTAAGATCTTACCCTTAGTCAAGTCACTGAAGCCTTTCTGGCCTCCATATCCTCACTTATAGAATGGGGCTAATAATAAAATTGGTAACAGCTGACTTCTAGCTGGAACTATGCTGTCTAATGCAATAGACAGTTGCCACTGGTGTCTGTTTAGATTAATTGAATGAATTTTGAATGTAGTTCCCCATTCTCACCAACTGTGCTTCAAATGCTTCATGCACATGAGGCAGGTGGCTCACATGTCGGGCAGGGCAGACCCAGAATGGGTCTTTCACTGTAGAAAGAGCTGTTGACAATGTTGCACCAGAGCATTGTGTACCAGCTCATGGTCCTCGAAACAGACTTAATGAGATAGGTCTTCTGATTATCCCCTTTTTCCAGAGAAGGAAACTGCATAATCTGCCCAAAGGCACAGCCAGTGAGTAGGAAAGCCAAGATTCAATCCCAGGCAGTCTGGGTCTTATATTTTAACCACTACTCTATTGCCTTTCACATGCCAGTGTCCAGAGATTTGGTGATGATTAAGAATGAGAACAGATGTCAGTGTGTGTGCATGAGTGATCCAGGGTAGGCTCAGTAAATATTTGAATTTGAAAAGACTCTGAGGAGAGAATTTATTCTGATATATTTTTACTTCTGATTCTAAGACCATGTATCTCAAAGTACGTGAAAAATGAGGACTTACGACCTCATCTAAGACTTTTGTAATCAGAATCTATGGGTGCACACATGTCCATGAATAAGTAAAACCTGGGAGTGTGCATTTTAAATTTGCTTCCAGGGTTGAGTTCTGAGGCACATTTACAGATCTGAGAATCGCTGTTAACAAGATCTAAAACCTCACATGGTGTTGTGACCTCTGCCCTCATGTGGCTTGTCCTTGAGCTCTGTTTAAAATCCTCTAAGATCGGTTTATTTCAGATTCATCTACTGTGCAAGGAAATGGCTGTTGGGATGGTTGCAAAGGCAGGCTTTTCCATCCTGGGAGAAAACTCCCTCTGGATTTTGCCCAGAGCAGGCTCCCTTCTGCTCTTTGAGTAGAAATACGAGAAGGAAAGAGAGTTTGGAGAGGAGGTTGTCCCTTGGAGGCACTTAGTGTAGGTGGCAAATGGCTCCTTCCATGTGATAAGTTATGAACCAGTGGTAGAGCAGACAAAACAGCATACCTGCCTCCTGGAAGCTGCAGCTGGGGGCACGTTGGTGGAAACCCGCAAAGCCTTGTGGAAAGAAGGAATGTTTCCCTTGGCATAGCAAGGAAAGCCAAGGTTTGGATAAGTGGGCATTGACAGCTGCCTTTTAAAAGAGTTAAACGTCTATGTAATGTGTTTTATGAAAGCTTATTTTATGTGTGGTCATTATTCTCTTAATCAAATGTTCCACGTACTCAGAGCAGCTTGGTTTGTTCAGCCAAGTGGTAGGTACCTGAATTGCGGGCTTTGTCCTTGAGTAGAAATAGCTGCCCCTGTAATACAGCCTGAAATGGGCAAAGATGATTTTATTTTAAAAGGGAAGGCTACATTTAGTGTATGTCTTTACCAAACAAGTTCAAGATTAGGTTGAAATTTACCTTGGAGCTCTTGAAAAGTTCCCTTCCAAGGATGTATAATATATAATGACAGTATAGTATGGTACTATCAAGTCTGGTATGGTAGCATGCAATAAAATATTTACTTTCCAGTGGGCGGACAGAATATCAGGCTACACACGGCGTCAGGCTACGAAGAACCAGCACCTTTGAGAGGAAGCCTAGTAAACGCTATCCATCCCGGAGACATTCAACGTTCAAAGGTGGTGTGGTTTTCATTCTGCCTTGGAATTTTACACTGTGGTTTGGTTGGTTAAGCCCCAAGGAGCTTGGTAAAGCAATTTTTAAAGGAACTTTCTGCTGTTCTACTCTGTCATTCCAAGCTTTTGACAAAACCCCAGAGGGACTCCCTTGCTGGGAATCAGGCTTTCCTTACCCTCTGGCTGCCTGTAGTCTGTCGTTGGATGTGTTCATTTTCTTCTCCTCTGTTCCGTATTTACTTTCTTGTGCCTCTTCGCTTCTGGTGGACCTGGGAATGTCATAGGTCAACAGGTTTCTTGCCTGTGTCACAGTGGATGATGGTTGCGTTTTGGAAGGAAAGACAGTCCCTTCTCTATCTTGCAGTTTCAAGGAGGATTCTGACCACATAAGAGCAGATCCACAACTTTTAAATACTGGACTCAGGGCTCACAGTGGGTCCAAACACACCCTGCCTTGAATTTAGTTGGCCAGGCCCTAGGATGCCTGTGCACCCCCCTCCCCTTTCCAGAGCTCCCTCAGCCTCGTCTCTCATTCAGTACTGTGGCCTCACACCTGTCTGAGGCCTGGTACCCAGTACAGGCTCAGTAGTGAGTGAGCAAGGTGTGCTCATTCTGGCTAAACCCAGCCTCCAGATCCTATCTCCTGGCTGTCTCCTGGTTGCTCCTCCGTCCGGGACACCTACCTGAGATCTAAATTATTGTCTCTTTCATAGCAGGGCCACTGCACTCTCGGCCCCCCTGCTTCCTCCTATACATCCTTGCCTTGCAGTGGCCATTCCATACATTTTTCTGGTATAACTTGGGACTTAGTGGGCCTCACGGGGCCTGGCATCTGTACATCCCCTTACATAGAGCCTTTAACCCATGTTCCCCACTGTTTCCTTCCTTTTGATCCAGCGGTGCAGTAGTGTGGCAGCCAGAAACTAAAGTCATTCTTGGCTGCTTTAGTGGAGAAAAAATGCCCAGACCCCTCACCTTTAAGAAAGACCATAGGAGGAGAGGATGGGAAGCGTGCCCAGAGGAGGTTAATGGGGTGATGGAGAGTGACACGTGATGGGGTGGGTGAGCCCTCTCTCTGTCCCAAGGGCCATGTGGCCTCTCTGATAGGCATCATGCTTGTTGCATGTAATCCATTGGGTCACAGGTGTCCAGAAACACCCCAGATCAGGAGGGCCTTTCTGATGGGGCCGTCCACGGGTGGAGCTATCTCAGGAGGGTGCTGAGCTGCAGGATCTGGAGGTGTGTCTGGGCACACAGGGAGAGAACCCTTGCTTGTGGTTCCCACAGAGGGGAGGGCACATCCTAGACTTGACCCCATAAGGTAACTTTCAGGCTCCTCCAGATTTCAGGTTCTGTGATTCTGCTCCACTTTGCTTCCTGGTCTCTGGCCTCTTTTCCTCCTTTACTGACATTTTTTCCAGCCGGAGTTCTGGCATCTCTGTGAAGCTTTTCATGATTTCCATGCTCCATCCTGTTTAATATAAAACAGAGTCTAGATAAAAGTCTACCTCTGCCCATGGTCTGATGCACAGACTCACACCCCTGCCTCAGCCAGAAGCGTCAGCCCTGAGCTGCCATACAACTTGAGATTACATTTCAGCCTTCATCAGCACCGTAGACTGTTTTTGATTTTATGTACATGTCTGTCTCAGTCAAGATGGTGAGCTCCTTGAGAGCAAGGGCTGTCTCATCTCTGCATTCTAGGGCCCCCCGCCCCCTGGCCTGGGGATGCGCTCAAATGCGCTTGGTGTTCACTGGGCAAATTGGAGGGCGGAGAACAGAGGAAAGGTGATTCTCTTTGTCTCTGAAAAGAGGAGTAGCTGAGGTAAAGATTCTGCCTCCTGGGTTTGGGACTGCCCAGAGAGCACCGAAGTTTCTTCTCCGGTCATTGTCATCACATGGCACAAAGCAATGAACCATTCTAAGACATCATACCTCTCTGTTTTTCCCTTAAAGCAAGCAACCCGGTGATTGCAGCCCAGTTCTGGTAAGTACCCCCAGACTCTGTGGTGCAACTCTTCATTCTAGAAATTGTATTTATTTGCCATGCCGAGTTTTTCCTTAATACAGTTAAGTCACAGAGTGAGTCACCTGGTGATTTTTTCCCCCATTTTCTGTTGCCTGGCTATACCATCTTCCTGGTTTTGAGTAAGGACACAATAAAATGCTCTGAGACTGTTTTTTTTTGGAAAACACAGCTGCTTTGTTTGAGCAGCTTTGTGCTTTGTTCATCAGAACAGTGGGTAGCCAAGGTGAAAGGAATGTGTACAGTGCACTGTGCTGATTGCATTGCAGGCAGTGATGGGAAAGAAAGGCCGTGCTCTCGAGCAAAAGCTCCCATGTGCTCAGTGACGTGCAGGGTTTATAGTCCTATGGTGTAGAAGACCTTTAAACACCTTCAGTGAGATTCCTGCAGGAAAAGGAACTTGTCACCTAGCCCAGGTGGCAGCAGACTTTTCTGTACAGGGCCCGGTAGTAAGTATTTTAGACTTTGCTGGCTCTGCAGGCTCTTTCATAGCTGTTCGGCTCTGCCACTGGACCATGGAAGCAGCGGGGAGACAGTATGAGAATGGTGAACATGGCTGTGTTCCAATAAAACTTTACTCACAAATGCAGGCAGGCCAGGATGGCCCACGGGCATGATTTGCCCATGCTTGCCCTCCTGCAGGCGTCCTTGATCTTTCCTGTTCACTGGAATCACCTGGAGAGTTTGACGTGTCCCCCTCAGCCAGGCCACACCCCAGGCTGATGGAATCAGTCTCTGGTGGTGGGACCCAGGCTCCTGTGGAGTTGAAAGCCCCCAGGTGAGTCTAGTATGCAGCCCAGGCGAGGACCATTGGCCGCCTCTGCACGTGTCTCTCTTTCTCTCCCTGAAACAGCTATTTTCTCACATGAGTTCTGATTTAGGTGGGCCGCAGTCAAGCTAACTAATCATAGACTTTAATTGTTTCGGCCCTAGCCCCTCGGTCATCCCAGACACAGGCCTCAGGCTGCTTGGGAGGTCTTTGAGGTCAGTACAGCTTGACTGTGCCAGGTCCTCTGGACAGTTGGTGGGCACGGCCTGCAGGGGAGCAGGTAGCCGCTGCCCAGGTTCGCTGTGAGAGTGCTGGCCGAGGGGGCAGGAGGCCTGCCTTGCCCCAGCTTTGCTCTAACCCCGCTCTGGGGCCTTTGGCCTTCCTTTTCTGGGCCTCTTTTTTCTCACTTGAAAACGAGGAGGTGGGGCTGGGTAAGTGTTCTTCTAAACTTTTTTAGCCTCTGACTTTCATTCCCCCACCAAAGTCTGTCAAAGAAGCCAAACATATAGAACAGACAAAAGTGGACCTGCCCTGGGTGAAGCCAAGCTGGGATGGAGGGGCTGGTGCCCCAAGGCACCCTCAAGGACCCCAAGGTTCTAGAGAATGTCACTAGCCCCCATGTCACACAGCTGGAAACCCAGCCGTACATCTGTTTCCAAACTACCTGCAGTGCCATTCACCTGGGGGTCAGGTGTCTGACTCTGAGCATCTAATGAAGGGGCTCAAAGGCCCTGTTGAACGGCCCCCACCCCCACCAGAGGGTGCAAGGAGGTTGCAGGTAGTCTCAGGCCTGCAGGCTTGCCCTATTTCTAGGCTCCTTGCAGCAGGTAAAATGTTTGCACCTTTCTCCACCTGTCAGTGTGTGTCACTTTTAATTCTCAGGGGCTTGTAAGTTACATTTCTTGCCTGTGCTCTCTAAGGAAGTGATTGTTTTGTTTATTTTTCCCTAATAAAATTACATTTTCCACTTAGCATCTAGTGGAGATTATTGGGAACTAAAACAAATGAAAAAAAAAAAAACCTCCACCAAAAAGAAAAAAGGGTAAATACACCCTTTAGGAACAAATGAGCTAATAACCACTGTTTGCAGCTGTTCAATTGCTCTTCGCAGCCTGTGGGATTCAGGGTGAGTAGGATTGCTGTTGGAGCCAGGGATGAAATTGTGCTCCGAGCTGCAGAGGTGATACCAGAAAAATAGCACCTTGCAGAGCGCTTAACCTCCGCAGTGAAATCCAGCTGGAGCTACAGCTGGCCCAGAGCCTGGCTCTGTGCACCGGCCCTCTCTGAAAACCGGAACACAGAGCCGTTTAGACCCCAGGCAAGACTCCTAACAATGACATGTTTCCCTCTCATTGTTGAAGAAGCAATAAACCTTGATTTCAAGCACACACCCCTAGCAGCTAGCCCAGTGATTACACCATGTTTGTTTGTGGTTTTTCTGGCAGAAGCCAAGCTTTTAGAGTAAACACATTGCGTTTTGCATCAACCTTGTCCGCCCTGTATTTTCTTCCAGAGTAGTTATCCTTAAAAATCCATCATAATAGGATGTGCATGAGGAGCCCAGAACCTTTTCTCAGGCCCTCAGGGAGCCAGCTTGGCTCAGTGAAAAGAATATATAGGCTTTGGGATTGAGCAGATGTCCATTCCAGTCCTGGCTCTGCCATTGTCTAGCTGGCTGACCCTGGGCAGGTTTCCTAACTACTGGTGTTAGGCAACCATTCCCTTTACCTGTAAAACAAGGTGGTAACATTTATTGACCTCATAGCTTTGTTGTGTGGATTAAATAATAACAGATGTGAAATTCCCAGTAGAGAGGCTTGTGTAGAATGAACATTCCAGTGGTGGCCAGATCATGGCAGCATTGTTGATAGCAGTGGGACCCATGGTGGTAGATGCTCAGAAGTGGCTCATAGCTCTCCCTGCAGTTGGAGAAAGCTCTGGGCAAGCTGCCTGGTGCCATGGGGCCATTTAGCAATGCCAGAGTAGAACTGGAATGGTAGCTAAAATTATGTCCTTTGCACAACTGTGAAAGGACCTCCTTTTTGCCACTAAAACATACCATCACAAGCAGGGTTCTGGATATATTACCCATGTGTTTGACTTGTGAGCTCTAAAGTGATGAATGAAAATTGCTATTTGGCTTCCCCCATTACATGTTCATTTAAGCAGTTAATGACCAAAAAGGAATAGTATTTGTGAAAGTTCCTAACAGAGTAGGTAGTGCTTAGGATTGGTTTATGATTGTTAAATACGTCAGTAATAATGCTGCTTCATAACCTATTACAATTTTTCTTTTCTTTAGCTCAAAACCAAATCCTGAAGTCCATAATTACCAGGTGAGATGTTGCTTTAAAAGGTTTTGACGTAATACTTCTTAAAGTTTCTAGATTTTCCACATTGAGTAGTCAGTCATAATGCTAATGATCAGATTTTAAAGAAATAGTAACAATACATGTTTTCTAAAGAAAACAGTAAGAGGACAGCCTTCCACGCTGCCCCCTGGTTTCCCTGGGTCATCTGAGCTGCTTGCTTTTCTTAACCTTGTCAACTAGCAAGCAGCAGGGACGTATGTTTAAGTTTCTGGGTGGTCAAACACAACCTCTCAGGAGCACTCCAGTGAGGCAGTTTTTTGTCAGAATGTGTTCCAGACCCCAGAAATATGAGTCCCTTGAGATGTGCCTCCAGGAAAGGATGTCTTGTCACACGTTTGGGAAATGTTGCATCCTCCATTCCCCTTTTTGGATCTTACAGCACCTTCTGGGGTGTCAGAAGTACTGAGAAGTCCTGCGGGAAAGACAGATGCTTATTTGTTTTTTAAATTTATTGTTTCCCCAAATCACTTGACTACTGAGCCACTGCCTCCCCTCTACTCCCTGTGAAAAAGCTGGCCTCACAGCTCCCTCCCCTGCCTTTCTTTTTTTTGGTGATGTATCTCCATTAACATCAGTGCAGTAGCATTTCTAGAACCTTCTTTGTAAAAGCATGGTGCTGGACCTATTGCCTGCAAAAGGTGCATAGATAGGTTTCCCTGGCTGGTGCTCTGCTCTTTCCCAGGGTGACCAGCCAGGGTCTGCGCCCCTGCCTGCCCACCCACCACTACCTGTGGGCAGCTCTCGCTGGCCACGCACAGCCCCCTACCACCTGACTCTGACTTATTCCTCTACATTTATTTCCCCCTGCTCATTGCCCATTATATGTTCAGTTCTCAGAAAATCACAGAGTCGTTGCCCCATAATTTTTTCCCACTGTCCCTTTGCCTGTGTGCATCTGCCTAGAATTCTTTCGCCTCCTATCTGTACATAGATGATCCTTCAGGGCCGGCCTGAGAAGCCACTTCCTGCTGCTGCACAGGAAGACAATCCGGCAAAAAGCCCTAGTAAAGTAACCAGTGCGTGTGCCTCACTCCAGGTAGACTGAATGAGAAACTCCAGAGGTGAGGTCTGGGTACCCTCTGCAGAGCTCCCAGTGTGGTTCTGATGAGCAGCGAGGCAAGGCCTCTGGATGGATGAATTGTCCCTCACTTCCTAGGCTGCCATTTGTGCTCAGAGGCGGCGTCCATGTCTGAGGACCTCCTCACCTGGTGCCAGTTTCCTGTCCAGTATGGCTGTGAATGTCAGAGGGACGCTTCTCTCCCAATTTCTGTGCCCTGTCACCAGTCTGGTTTTGCATGTCCTAAGTAACAAAGCTGTTCCACGATGAGTTCCTTTTGGAGCTTTATTCTAACTACTTTCTTTCTTGATCCTTCATTACTGTCGATGTTAATTCCTTGGATGGGGGTGGGGCCCCAATGCACATTACCTTCATGAGGTCTCCAAATTATGTTTCAGAAGAATTTCATGATACTGTCTTCCATACAAAAATCATATTCCCAATGTACAGAACCTGGACATGACTTCTAAGTTTTAGGAAGTAACATGTGAAAAGTACTTTGAACTTGGTGACAGGAAGGCCAGGTTTTCCCAGTCTCCTTGCCACCTTTGGGTTCTTGAACCTTCTTATTCACAGCTTGGGGGTTTTTTTGTCTTGTCTTTTTTAGTTGTGAGACATTTTCAAGTGTGAGTGGCTGGAATGTTGTGGGAGAAGAGTGGGGTTATTGATGGCTGATTACTGCTTGAAGGAGAGAAAAAAAATAAAAATAAATCAAAGCCTTCCCAGCTCAGTGCCGCCCCGGCCTCCTCCGCCACCCTCACAGGTGTGCTGTCTGCGTGCTCTGCTCTGGGTGAACGTTGAGGCGATGGCTCATTGAAATCAGACCCGTGAAAACTGTTAACCTAGATGCTGTTTTTCTCTTAACGTCTTTGGCAACTGCTGGCCCTCTGCTCCTTGTCAGTCTTAAAGGTTCTGTGATGCTCTGTCAGGGTTTGGGTGTAAATGACTGGGAACAGAATGTCTGCAGAAGCGGCCTGATAAGCATCTGAATCTGAATGCTGAGAAAGGTTTTCAGGAGAGCGGTATTGAGCTCAGCGAGGACCGATTGCTGTGTTTTCAATGTAGGACACTGTTAGCATTTGGGGAGGGACAGTTCTTCATTGTTTGGGACTGTCCCTAGAGTTACAGGATGTTTAGCTTCTCTCTTCTCTGCCCAATGGTTAAAAGTAACCCTGCAGTCATTGTGACAAGCAAAAATGCACTAATGTATTTCCACTTGTCGCCAGGGGGCCATAACTGCCCTGATTGAGAACCATCTGGGTTAACAATAAAAGATTGTCCTTGACAGTTTGAGAGTGTGAATAAATTACTAAAGGAGACCATGGAAAGTTCTGGAATATCCTTCTTCCAAGTCTTTATAACTTAAGGTATCCACCCCTCTCCAGTGAATCTGCCTTGGTTGTGCTTGAAAGCAAGGAGTAGATAGAATAGAAGGTCCATTTCTATTCTGGGTTATTCTCATTTGTTGAAGACCCAGTTGGTGGGCCTTCATTTGGGATCTGACTGTGTGATCGAAGCACCTCAAACAGTTCAGTGCTGGGTAAATCATCTTAACTCTCTGGGTTGCTGCATATCCCGAGACAGAAATGTGAGGAGACTGGATCAGGGAGCCACTAAAGCCCTGGTCAGCTTTCCCATTGTGCCGCTGAGATTTTTTCTCCAGGTTCCTTTTTCCTGTAGCATGTCCTTTTAGGGGCTTCAGACTTAGCTGCTGCTAAGCATCTTGGAGTGGGGAGGCCACTGGAATACAAAATAGGAGGGGAGGGTATCTCAGGTCCCTGAAAACTGAATGAACAGAATTGCTGAGATTTTTCCATAATAGAGAATGGGCTTCCGCTTATTAACCAAAACAGCAGGGGAGGAAGCAGGAGGGAAAGAAATAATTAAAAGAATAATGGTGGCAAGATTGTAGTGACTTAAATGTCAAGAGGGCCTAATTTGCCCCATAGAAAGTTTGCCTTGAGAAGCCCCAGGGCTTCTGGCAGTGTCTGGGGCCACTGCCCTCTGCAGGCCAGAGGTGGACAGGCAGCCCGCTCCTCCGCCTGGTCTTCACCCTGGTCGTTTTGTGAGTCACCATCTAGATCTGTTTTCGCATCTTAAAATGGAAAAATGCCTGCCTGCCTTCTGTTTTATCAGGATAATAAGTGTCCTGGATGGTTTGTGGTTTTGTTTGTTTGGGGGAAGAGGATTTGGTATTTTGCTTTGGATCATATTTCAGAAAATTATTTTTAATGTGTAAGCAAAGGAGAAAAAGAATGGGAGTTCACCCACAATCCTGCTCCTTGGCGTCCTTGGCCAGGCCTTATCTTTTTGCAGATACAGCTGTTACGCTTGGCTGTCGACCTTTTCAGCAATGATAAAAATTGTTTCTGAAGAAATTAGTATCCCCCCCCACCGCCCCAGTCTCCAGTCTCCCTCGGGAGAGATGGATAGCACCTGTTCTGGGCGCTCCAGGGCCTCTCACGGCTCGTGCTTTTGCCCTTCCACAGGTGGCTCCCCTCTCCCCCAGCCTTTGTATCAGAGAAACAGGATTGTCCTGAGAAAGGTCTGCCCCCCACCCCCCTACACAACCATGTCTCTATTCACAGCCCCTCATCCCCTCAGGTAGATGCCAGAAAAAGAAAGTAAATGAAAACCATTGAACTCAAAGGTCACAGAATAATCAAGTTTGGTATTTTTTATTTTTAGCCTCAATACCATCCCAATATCCTCCCCAGCCAGCCTCGGAGGCACCCTCACTCTCCAAATGTAAGGTAAGCCTGGAGCTCTCAGAGCTCTGCTTTCGAAAGTTCTCCTTTGCTCCGGAAAAGCTCATATTTCTACTTACTTATGAATTGAAATTATTCTGCATCACAAACAGCTGTTTCAGAGCTGCCCTGTCGTGGCAGAGATTGTGTGCAAGCTGAAGAAGCCAGTGATGAGTCTGGTTAAAGTTACGCTTTATGAAATATTTTTGGTTTATTTTGGTTTTGGGTTTTTTTTTTAGCCATTCTAACCTCAGATTTTTTTGTTTTTTTGTTTTTGTGTTAGAAATGCTACTTAAAATTTCTAAGTAATATTTTCCTGTCCTGCAAATTCATTTACTGAAAATGTGACTCAGGCTTGAGGATTTTTGTTGTGGGGTTTTTGAAAGGATTTTTTTTTTCCAGGGATGGGGTGGGGGGTGTACTCTTGTAGGAGTGCATCCTTTTTCTAAGCCCTGAGGTCAGTAAACTGTTCTGGAAAGGGCCAAGTAGTCAATCTTTCCAGCTTTGTGGTCTCTGTCACAACTCCTAAACTCTGGGGCCACTGTGTCTTGAAAGCAGCCACAGACATTACACAAGCGAGTGTGCCTGGCTATGTTTCAATAAAACTTCCTTACTAAAACAGACGTTGAGTAGGATGTAGCCGGAGGGCTCTGCTCACTCACCTCTGCCCTAACCTTCCACAATCCTTCCAAAGGAAACTGGCCCCAGGCTTGCTGCGTTTTCAGTTAGGCTCAGGCGCTGTAATGCCAGCTTTGTAAAGGCAGACGTTCCTTCCAAAATTTGAATTTTAGATCAGTCTTAATTGGTGTTTATGTGTGAAGCTCTGTTAGAAAGCACGTTGGTGAATTCAGTTGCATGAAGTTATTGGTGAGGTTGCTGGCCTTGCTGCTTGAGAAGGAGGAGAATGGAGTGATGGAAATAAATCCGTTTAGAGCAAAGCAAATGAGAGCAATTAGTTCTTGATCATTCTTAACAAGTTTCTTGGGGATCCTGGAGGACAACAGTGCAATTTTATCATAAACACTGGATATTCGTGTAACTTTTTAAAGCAGGTTAAACTAGTGGAGTCATAATTCTAAATGTTTCCAGTATTGCAAAGGCAGTTTATTTTCCGGACATGAGAAGCAGAAGAGAGTTCTAGAAATGCTATTTTCATTAACCTCATCTTTACAAAAATGTACACTTCTTATTGCCAATTTTATCACTTTAGTCTCCTTCTGAGGCATGACCCAGCGCAGCATTTCACAGTGGGGATTCTTAGGAAGGCTGAAGAGGGCCCCTCTCAGGTGGCCCTGCTGCCTGGCTGATTTAGCCTCACCTGGGAGCTTGTTCGTGCAGGCTCAGCACCACCCCAGACCTACTGGATCAGAAAGGGGGGGCAGTTGGAGGGACAGCATTTTGTGTTTTATCAGGCTTTCCAGAGTTAGAAAAGCACTGCCTGAGATACTCACCCCAGAACAAGAGAGTTCACTGGTCCAACACTTTTGGCAAAGGCTGCCTGGGGCATTTGCAGTGTATTTTAGCCTGGTAAGTCCTGGGAAGGCCCATAGTAGAGAAACCTTTTTCACCTTCACCTGGCTTTCCCCAGACTGGATTGTTCATCAGATTCTCTTTGAGGAATGACATCACAGCTAGGCAGAGCTTTTTCTTGACTTGAAAGTTGATAGATGACCTGCATCTGAATTTTAAAATCCTTGAAAAGTAGAAAATCCATTCATTTCCATTTGTAAGTCATCCCCATTCACATGCTTCATGGTTTTCCCTGCCCACTTTCCTTGTGCTTGTGTTATTTTACTCACATTTCTGAATTCTCTTCCATTCCCCCCACTAACCATTAACTCCGCAAACAACACAGGCCACCCTTTCAGGATGACAGGCCCCAATGGGAAGCACCGGCCAGTGGAGATGACAGCTGTTTCGATTATGTCCACGACCAGAACCAGAAGAACTTAGGAGGAATGCAAAGTATGATGTATCGAGATAAACTCATGACTGCACTTTGAGAGACTGAAGCATCTTACTTCCATTCACCATTATAGTTTCATTACATTCCATGAAAAGTGTCTTGGCATCACATGGTTGTGTTTGCAGAAGTGTCTTTAAGGAAGGTGTTTTTGGGGTCCATGTAAATGTTTCAAAAGAACCACAGTAGCTTGTCATAATTGACCGTTGACTGCATTTTTAACAAAATGAAGGTAGTTAAAGGCTCAGGAATCATTTTAATATTCTGATTTTTAAATATGGAGTAAAAGTCTATGTTTATTGTATTGCTATGTACCTGACATTTCTTTCTTATTTAATAAGTGCGGCCAAATAAAACCAGAGAACTTGGGAAGATAGCTCTGCATAGAGTACTGTGGCATACTGTGGTTGGGGAATTGAGATTGCTAGAGTACATTATCTGTCACTGTGCAATCTTGGACATGCTAGTTCCCCTTTGCTGGCCTCATTTTCCCCATCTGAGTGGGTTGGACTAAATGGTCACCAAAGTTCTTTCCAACTCTAAAATTCTGTGATTTATTAAAATTTAATATTTTTAAGCTGAGGATATACATTCAACCTAAATTTCTCATAGGAAAACTGCACAATCCCCTTCTCTAACAGAGTTATCCCTTTCAGAAGCTAAATATAATATATAATTTGTTAGATGTTATATAAATACAGGGAGACTTTGAATTTCATATCATATAGCAATTTAGCCACTTTGAGTTTTAGTGATTTTACTAATCAAAAAATGTATAGAATCCCTTTTGATAGACTTTGCTGCTCAAGTACAAGAATAATTTTTAAATTATTGATTGGTGCTGCTAACTTGTGTGATTTCAGAAGACATACTTACAACAAACGCACACAGTCAGAATTTATAGCATTTAAGGGTTGGGTTTTTACCCTAGACTTCACTCTTGTGAAAAGCAACATTCAATCCAGGTACTTATATGGCTCAAATTAAAGTGCATAAGATTTTAATGAAGTTGGGCCAAAGCATTCTGTAGACTGGGTTAGGATGGGTATTGCACAGTCTTTTTGTAGAATATTGTCTTTTCAGGTAGAATGCGTACCAAAATATTTATTCCCCGCCCCCCATTTCAAGACATGAGTCCACTATTTTTTCTCTTAATACATAGGCCTGAATCATTTTTTCATTAGTCTTTTTTGTGAAATCAATTCTTGTGCCATTTATATATATATGTGTAAATTGGCCCATTTTAAGCCTTTAAAAAAAATGTATTGACATCCCTTGAGATTATTGCTAAAATTTTATCTTTTTTTGGCTACCACAAAAATCTATCCAGAGGAGGGAGTCAGCTGCACACCCTACACGGTGGAGTCGATCACCTATAAACTCTCCCTAAGGTATTTGTTTACAGGTATATTCCACTTGAGCAGATGCGTATCCTCAGTGTATGTCTTGCATACAAATAAATGTGTTCTGAATCTTTTAATCTTATTGATACTTTTTACAAATGTGTTTCCAAAGAATAAAGATTATTCTTGCTTTTTTTGACTCCATCTTCATTTTATGCTGCATAGAAGTATCATTTGTGGGTGACATAGCTAATGGGATGGTGAGTTTTTGGAAGTCTAAAGGTGAGCCTTCTGTTAGATGACATGGAGCAAGTTCATCTTAGAATGAAGCTGCTTTGGGAAGAATGGCCCTTCTTGTAGGCACAGTGACTGAAGTATTTCTTCATCGGGGGCAGCTGTGGTGAAGGTCCTAGTCCTTGGTCCCAGGTGCTGAGTGAAGTTTGGTGGCGGAGTGGTTTTCCCCCATGACAGTCTGACGTGTTTGTCTTGGCTACCGCCGCTGTTCCTGGCGGAAAGAGATCCAAACCTGTGTCTGCGGTCTCCTGGAGACTGTGTATGCAAATACCCTCTAATAAATACCTTTCTGCTTACAGTAACTTGAGTGGATTCCGTTGTCTGCAACCAAGAAGTCTAAGCAGTGTGCATACTTATGACCTCCTAATTGTTACATGAAGTGTACGCTTTTCATTTCTCAACTTGGTGGACCTTTCACAGCTGCTTTTGACGGTGTTAATCAGTCACAGCTTCTTGAAACCATTTCCTTGATTTCTGTGATACCTGCTTCTGTAGCCCTTTGACTTTTCCTTTGGTCTTTATAACAGCCTCTTTTCCTATCTTCCTATTAAATATTGGTGTTTTCCAGGGGTTCTCCTCTGCCCATTGCTTTTCTCCCTTAGCATTCTACCTGGGTCTTGTCATCCAGTCATGATTTTTAATAGTGCTCTTGACTAAGAAACCATTATCTCTAACCGACACGACTGTTGTGAGTTTTTAGATTGACAGTTTTTTTCAACTTTCAACTTGTGAATCCTATATACACCTCAAACTCTACATCAGAAATCAAATTTATCATCTTTTACTGGGGGAGGAGGAGAAATCTTCCACCCTATTCTCTCTTTCCTACCCATGATAAGAATTCAGACATCATCCCAACTCTTCTCCCTTAAAGCACCCATATCTGCCCAGTCCATCTCCTTAGTATTTGTATTTAGTCCTTCTCTACTGATGACCATTGATCTTGTAGCAGCACCTTCTCTTTGCCTGAGAGGTGCCCTTACTGATTGCCTTGACTCCAGTCTCCGGATAGCTCATTCTCCTCACAGTCACTAGAGTGATTTTTCTAAAACACTCTGATTGTGTCATTCAGTACTTGGTATCTGCCAGGGTTCTCCATCACTCATAGGGTGAAATCCCAGGCCTCAAAAGGGTGAAATCCCAGGCCTCCTGCATGGAGTTCCCCTGCTCTCTGCTTCCATTCTATTGCTCTAGCATATCCTCCCAGCCCCCCGTTTCTCACCCTCCTATTTAAATTTCTGCAACACCAAACTGCTGGCAATTCTGGCATTCACCACACCCTGCTGTTAATCCCACCTGTGCCTTTGCAAATACTGTTCCTTCTGCTGAGAGCACTGTCACTCCCACCTCCTTTGCCAGCTCCTGCTCATCCCTTAGGCCTCCATTCAGATGCTGTCATCTCCCAGAGCCTCTGACGGCCCCCACTGCAAACTGGGTTTGTTTCTGTACTCTGTTTATATCAATATTGCACTGTATATATCAATATTCTGTATATATCAATATTGCACCCACTACTTTGTATGAAAATAGCCTCTGTTGTTCTCATCCCAGAGCCTCTCTGCTCCTTCAGTATGAGCTTTGTATCATTTGCCTTTGTTCTGCAGTGTGATACATAGCAGTGCTTAGTGAGTGTTCAGCAAATGACCTCTTCCACATTCATTCTAAAGGAAACATCTAACCAGATAGAAGTTGGTAGTATGTCATCTCAGAGCTGGTCTGAAGGTGTCTGAACAGCTGTCCAGTCTGGGGCATCCCATTTTGCATTTTGAGTAGGATATTGACCATCACATGTGTTCAGGATTCAGCGTCTGAGTACTGCCCAGTGTGTCTGCAGTGTTCTCATGTGCAGCACCACTGTAGTGATGAGCGTTACTACAGGGCGGAGGACAGGCCAACTGCAGGGCACTAGACGCCTCAGCAGGTTGACACCGATCCATTGTAAATACAGGCTAATAGCCACAGGTGTGCTTTAGACTCTACGTATGGTGCTGAACTCGATTGTCCTGACCACTCTGTGAGGTGGTGATATCCTCTTCTCACACATGTGGAAGCTCAGGTTTAGAATTTAACCAAACAGCTTGTACATGGTCACAGAGCCAGTAGGTGGTAAGCAAGAATTTTGACTCGAAGCATGTTTTCTCACCCCTGGGCTTAATTGCCTTCACTATTAATCATTCTGCTATTTGGGACCCTGTCTATCCACAGCCCCATGAGACTAGTACTAGGTCGTTGAAGAATTCCTGCACTGAAATCCACTTACAGGAGAGCCATCTACCACCAGCAGTGGCCTAACAACCATGCATCCCCACTACACACCAATGGTCTAATGACCTTGACTGTCCCCATCCCCAGTGAGCTGATAACCCTGTCACAACCTTCCCCACAACGCCAGCCTCCCAGGAGACTAGTAACCACACTTGAGCACCCGTCCTGCAGCAGTCTAGTGACCCTGTCCATGCAGGCATTCAGCCCTGCATTCACTCCTTTTCAAAGGAGCTGAGAGTGAGCATTATTGTCTTCTTAGTGAGCCACTCTTTATTTGAGATGGTCCACTGCTTCGCTCCTGAGAGCTCACAAACCAGTCATTTCTTCTGGAACATTACCTGCCAGCAAAACTGTGCTCAGTATTACGTAAGTAAGGAATTAGCTTTTTGTGCTTTTTGACACTTGAGTACTTAATGGTCTTGTATCATCTATTATTTTTCTGTGACCACTCAGAATATCTTAACAGTGAATCAACATAGTCATCTGATTGATGTAATTCATACAGACTAGAAGTCATGCCAGGTAATTACCTTGGCCTTCAAAACCCTCTTGCCTGTTTCACTTTTCAATCTACCATTTCCACTAAAAATGCTTCTCCTTTACAGCAAAGAGGAAGGAAAAGGGACAGTGAGGGTGTCCTTTGTTTTTTCTTGCCTGTTAATATTGCACCATCCTTCCAGGTCAGTGACTCCATCCAGCCTCCTGGGACCTGGTTTGACAACTAATAATAGATCTTCTCTGTTGCCCTTGACTTTCCAGCTTTTAACTAGTTCTTTAAGATCTGAGCTCATCAAAGAGAGCTCCCTGAGCAGCCATATTGATCCTTTTAGATCAATATTTCCCAAACTTGGCTCTAATTCCCTGACTGATGAAATCTTCCAAAAGTTGCAGGTAAATACCCTAAATCAAGCATAGGATAATTTGCCTTGGCCATTCTGTACAGGAGGTCAGGACAAATGCCAGAGGCATAAGGCGCAGAGGTAGAGAAAAAGCAAACTGCAGGGAAGGAGAGACCCTGCACGTGAAAGGTGGCACATTTTTAAGGAGCCCCAAGGTATCTAAAAAGAGGAAACGAAGATGTCATTGAGCTGAGCCTCAACAAAAGACACCAATAATTCTGCCAAGTGGCCCACTTCCCCAAACTTAGGGAGCCAAAGAATTGTCTGGACAGCTCATAAAAAATGGAGATTGCTACACTGTTGAAGTGGTCAGTGGTGAGACTAAGGAGCCCTCACCATAAAGAACCAGGAGAGTCTGAGGTGGGCAAGTGTAGGACCTCACTTTGGAAAAGCACAGCTTCCCATCTGGTCTGCCCTCGTTTTAATGGTTCAGTGTTAACTCATTAGGGGCCAGTTCTTTTTTATTTTTTTTAACGTAGCCATGATGTCAGAAAGCAAGTGGATGAATTCCTCATAATAAATAGCCAGATCTGTCTGCTCAGCACAGTTTTGTACTTTCTTAGGCTCACGGTGAAGCAGAAGAATGAGAATTCCAGGGTTTCTTAAATGGCTTTAATTTCATCGTAACCTCCCTCCCCCAAGTCTGTCAAACCGAGTCTATGTCATTGTTCGGCTCTCCTCACTCCAGAAGCAAGGAGGTAGTGAGTTCCGTCCACTCGAGGACAGGGCATGGACACACACTAGTTGAAGGACCCATGCCAAGATTAGAACCTGTGGTAAGGAGAGAGGTATTTGCAGAAGCCAATGGCAGGGGATTGCAAGCTGATGAGAGAAGGACCATAGAGTCCAGTGGTGCCTCTCTTGGGGGCAGGAGCCCTGCAGTTCTCTGAGTAGGTGAAAGGTGGATACTTTGATGTTTTTTTTTTAAAGAGGTACATAGAATAAAATGCACAAATCTTAGGGTACAGCTTGATGTGTTTTGACCTGTGTGTACACTCATGTAACCACCCAGATCTAAGTATGAAACATCCTCACTAATCTTTCCCCCTTTACTTATTGTACCCATCCCCACCCCACCTCCCCTATGGCAACCACCAGTCTGTTCACTGTGTGAGTCTATTTCTGTTTTGTTTATTCATTTGTTTTATTTTTTAGATTCCACATATAAGTGAAATCATATGGTATTTGTCTTCTCTGACATATTTCACTGAGCATAATACCCTCTGATCCATCCATGTTGTTGCAAATGGCAAGTTTTGTTCTTTTTTATGACTAAGTAATATTCCATTATATATGTGTACCACATAGTTTTTATCCATTCATCTGTGAATGGACATTCAGGTTGCTTACATACCTTAGCCATTGTAAATAATGCTGTAATAAATATAGGGGTGCATGTACCTTTCTGAATTAGTGATTTGTTTTCTTTGGGCAAATTCCCAGAAGTGGAATTGCCAGGTCAAGTGGCATTTCTGTTCTTAGTTTTTTTAAAAACCTCCATACAGCTTTCCACAGCAACTGCACCACTTTAGAATCCCACCGGCAGTATACAAGGGTTCAAGATGTGGATACCTTGGAATCTCACAAGATTTGAATTCCAGCTTTCCTACTTACTAACCACATGACCTGACCTTTGGCCAGTTTCTTTTCTTCTCTATACCTCAATTTCCTCATCCCCAAATGGAACCTACCAATAATATTTCACTATTAAGAGAATTAAATGACATCATGTATA